TTCACAACCATCTGTAATAGGATACAGTACCCTCTTCTGGCCTGCAGAACACTCATACATAAAAAATATATAAATGTTTTAAAATAGAATACATTTTCCAAAGTTCAATATACCGTTTTCTATGTCTGATTTTTCTGTTTTTTACATTTATTTGTCATTTTATTTGAGGGATGCTCATGCTTCTCCCATCATTAGTGTCTGTGGGTCAGAGAACACTGGGGAGCTGTCCGGGTTTGCTCCTTCTACCACGTGGGCTCGGGATGGAAGTCAGGTCAGGCTATCAGCAAGAGCTCTCACTGCTGAGCCATCTCACAGGTCTGTGCATCTGATGTTCAATGCCTTTTCAACATATCTGACAGAACTATGAGAAGGAGGGAGATTTGTTTCAGTGCTACCCACGTTCAGGACAGCTCTTCTTCCCATGATGACCCACCCATGTTCAGGGTAGGTGGCTTCCCATGGTTAATCATCTCCCGATAATACCAGTGTACTCTATTATTCCCTAGGTGCTACTGAATCCAAGTTGACAGCCAACATTAACCACAAATATCTTAATATGCTTTATTTTTTCCAAATAACCTATCACTTTTAAGAGTAAACATTTTTATAACCATTTCAAAAGTAAAGAAATTAATACAATGGGCCTCCACATATCTGTCTCAGACTCAGTGATACAGTGTATGTGCGTCATCTGTTTTTATCTGGACTATTTTAAAGCATATCCCAGAAGTCCTTTATCTCACCCATACATGCTTCAGTATCAGCTTCTAAAACCTGTTGTATTTTCTTATGTAACTACAGTGGCCTCATCACCTTTCTTGATATCATCTAATATCTAGTCTATATTTTAATTTTTCCAATTTTTATCTGAAGAGTTTGTTGTTGTTGGTTTGGTTTGGTTTTGAGCCCACAAGGCCTGGATGCAGCAGCCCATACCCTGTAACCCCATCACTTAGGAGGTGGAAAACAGGAAGTCATCCTCAGCCACACAGAGAGTAAAGCCAGACTGCACTTCCTAAAGCCTATCTCAGAAATAAACAAATAAAAAGGCAAAGCAACCTCCCCCACCCTGAAAAGAAAGGCAACTCAGTATCTAAACGAGGCTCGCACACTGCAGCTGTTTCTTCTGTACAGCTTTCTGCGTCTACTTCCTTCTAGTGCTTCCTTTTTAACACTGACTTTTTAAAAGAAACTGGTTAATTATCCTATAAAATATTATGAATATGGATCTGTTTAATTACTTTTTATGATACTTTATGTTATTTCCCTGTATCATATATGTATACATACACACACACACATACACCTGTGTGTGTGTGTGTGTGTGTGTGTGTGTGTGTATAAAATAAGACATGACTCTGAGGCTCAGGTCTGGATTCAGCTCACTTTAACAACACTTTACATGGTGCTATGTATTCCATATCTAAGAACATAATGGATGTTGCAAAGAGAGGCCTGCTTGCTCATCCCGGCCGCCCGGCTAGCTTAGCCCCAAAATAACCACACAGAAATTGTATTCATTAAAACACTGCTTGGCCCATTAGCTCTAGTTTCTTATTGGCTAATTCTTACATCTTAATTTAACCCATTTCTATTAATCTGTATATCGTCATGTGGCAGTGGCTTACTGGAAAAGATTCTAACCAGCGTCCATCTCAGGTGGAGGATCCATGGCTTCTCTCTCCTGACTCTGCCTTTCTTCCTCCCAGCATTCAGTTCTGTCTTCCCCACCTACCTAAGTTCTGCCCTATCAGCTAGGCCGAGGCAGTTTCTTTATTTATTAACCAATGAAAGCAACACACAAACAGAAGGACCTCTTACACCAAATGGATACCAATTTTAGTGATGTCACAGTTTATCAGTGGTTCAGATGTTATGATCCCACAAAATTATCAACTTTCACCTCATGGTTTTCGAATACCTGGAACCTATTATTTTGTTAGCAATTGTATTTTTTTTATTTTTCTAAGTTTGCTACCCTTTCTAAATTTATTATCTCAAAGTATTCTATAAAAGAAATTTTGTCTGGCCTGGGGATGTAGCTGGGTAAAAGAGCATTTGCTTAGCATGGGCAATTTTAATCTCTAGTGCTGAAAAAAATGAAAATAAAATAAATTATTATTTATCATTATTTATTTGGTTAATAAATTTGTTTGGGAATTTGTTTGGGAAAGGGAAGATAAATATTTGTTTATTTTCCTTTTTAAGGTTTTTGAAGAGCAATGACTTGAAAGCAGGCAGTAACTGTAATAATGACCAATAAGGAAGAATTGATGGACTCTTTAGTCTGTCTGCAAGTAAAAGCACTTGCCCCCAAGTGACTACCTGAATTCAATACCTAGGACCCACATGGTAGAAGGAGAAAACTGATCCCCAGATTGTCTTCTGACCTCCACATGTGTGCCGTGGCATGTGTGTATGTATGTGTGTGTGTGTATATGTATGTGTACAATAAGTACAATTTGTTAAAAAAAATTTTGAAGAAGATGTCCCAGTGCCATCTCCTGTGTTTTCTGTCCCAGACTTGGAATCACTAATTTCCTACTGAAGAGTTCTGATTCCTTTTAGTGAGAATTAATATTTTGAGATCACAATTTGGGCACTAAAGTTTCCAGAATTGTTGGGTTCACATTGTTTTTTTAGTACACATATCCAGAGAATGAATATTTTAAAGGAAAAATAAGTTCATTGTAATATTTTTAACGAAAATGCTATAGGATTTGTATTTTAGACTTCATGTTTTATCTGGTTTAATATTTGGTACATAGCAACAATAACAAACTGCATAGTATTCTTACTATATGATAAGGCAAGTCAAATTGGATTACAAGTTTTATTAATAGCCTTTTTGTGTTCTTATCAGATCAGTATTGTGCTGAAGTTAACACATTTACCAGCCCTGCCAAGTTATAGTCTTGACCTTTGTGAGTTTCCACTTAGTTCTACATCTCGGAGATTTTATATGATGCAAGGAATTGTGATTGCAATGACAACTGTAACCAAGTACACACAAGGTGCAAGATTCCTCTGCTCAGATGAAGCCTGCCCTCTTTCCAAAGGTCTGTGTTCAAATGGGAAATGAGAAGCCAAACTATTTCCTACCAAACCATATTTAAATTGCTGACTAATCAAAGTGTAATAAACGGAGATATTTTGGTGTCTCCTACCACTTATATGTTTACTGTGCATCATCTTGAAACAGTCTTTTCCTGCACTCCACAGTTTAGTCAGTGTTACATTATCCTGGAAGAGCAAGTGAGAACCGTTTGCTCATGCAGTTCCTCTGTGTTTGAGGTCTAACCTAGTCAGCCCTTTTTTGTTGTGAGACATCTTTCCCACTGACCCTCAAAGCTGGTTGAGTTGGATGCTTCCTCTCTCCACTCTGAACTCTGCAAATGATGCCATATCCTGAAATTACGTTTCCCAGCCACATACGGAAACTGTTTTTTAAATGCCCCTGTTACTAGTGCCTTAGCACAGTGCTTGGAAAGAAGCAGCCGTGTTGCTAGAACTCGGGAGGCTGAGACAGGGGTTCCGGTCTCACCAGGGCTACATAGCGACAACCTATCCAAATAAATAAGTAAAGCATGCAATAACATTAACTGGTAATTTAAATGATTGAAGATAGCTAAATCTGAGCAGTTTAGCTCACCGCTGTTTTCTTTCAGGATTTCAGTATATAAGAGTCCATGTGCCTGGTGCTACCGAATCTGCAACAGTAAGAAATGACTTTTTGTGCAATCTGTGTTCATCTTCACTTCAAGAAGACAGAAAATTTAGAGTACTTGGTGGTAAAAAAAAAATACCATTTTGTGATAATTTTCAAAACAGTCTCTTGTATTATAATAGGAAACTTAAATTGAATGTGTTTATTCTACTAACAATGTTTTGTTCTTTACCTTAAGATAAACAGATAGTTGAAATCATTACCACAAAAGCACTTCATGCTTTTCAAGGAGATTGTAAAAAACAACCATTTAGGTTTCAGTCACTTAGTATTTTCCTAAGAGGTATGTAAAATTCTGTTTGAATTCACAACAATTTGCTATAAAATATGGACTCTTGTTTATGCTCGCATATAGTCATATTGACAACTTAAGAATGGAAAGTCACTTTCTTCTTTTATTTATTCTTATTTTGTACATTACATTCTGACTTCAGCCTCCCCTCCCTAAACTCCTCCCAGCTCCCCTATTTCCCCTACCCCCAGTTCCACTCCTCCTCTGTTTTCCTTCATAAAAGAGCAGGCCTCCCAGGGACATCAGCCAAACACAGCAGAACAAGTTACAGTAAGACTTGGCACAAACCCTAATATCCAGGTTGGACAAGGTAACCCAATAGGAGGAAAAGGGTCACAAGAGAAAGCCAAAGAGTCAGAGACAGCCCACTCCAGTCTGCACCAGGGTATGCAAAAAAAAAAAAAAAAACCCACAAATGCTGCAAGGGCTAGACTTTTCTAGCTGATGGGTAAATAAGGAGAAACATGCTTTCTGATGGTAACTTTCTCTTTTACTTCATCCTAAATAATCTTCTCTGAGAACCTCTGTCTCTACACAGCTACATTTTTTACATATAGCTACATTTCTCTCTTTATATGCATACATCTCCGTGCACATATCCTAATGGTTAGAGTTCTCAGGCAGAAAGTAAACAGTTGGCTGAACCTTGAGCTTGTAACATAAACTGAGGCTGGAACTGTGTGCAAAAAGTCAATTGCTGAGAAAGTTATGGCTCCTAAAGTTGCTTCAAACTCTGACCTTGAATTAGCAAACACCTGGAAAACTGACCTCATGGATTTTTCTCTAGGGTCAACCATAGATATTCATCTCCTGGAGCAACCAGTCTGCTTTGAATTTGTTCTGAAGTCTAAAATTAACTGTCTTTGTGGCCAAGAAAACTACTGCTTTCCTATGTCAGTCTGAATAATGAAAAATATCATAGTGTTATTTCTATTCATCAGAGTAATACAGATTAAGCAGAAATCACCCTCCTGACCATCCACAGCTATATGTGCCCAATAGATGGAACACATGCATGAGCTAAACACACAAGCAGTGGGAAACACCCATAGCAGTTCTTAGAGAAGGAATTAAGTGACACATGAGAGAAATTACAAACAGGAGCAGTCGGTTTCCACAGCCAATGACGACCCCACAGACTTTTCCTAGTAGGGCTTTCCACAGAGTCATTTGTCTGGTGGGTCGGCCTGCTGAGCACTAGTTGTCACCTGCTGAATACTCCCACGGCAGCTCTCAGCACCCACTCCAGTCATCTATCAGGAGTTGCCCAGTTCCAGGGTCATGGCCTCTTTATAGTAATGACGTCACACTGTTCTGTATGTGTGTACTTTGTGTTCATATTAGAATATGGAGCCAGGTGTGGCAGTGTGTGCTTTTAATCCCATCACTCAGGGGCACTTGTGAGTTCAAGGCCAGCCTAATCTACATAACCAGTTTCAGGCCAACCAGCTCTACACAGTGAGACCCCATCTCAAAAGAAATGTATTAGGATATGAACATCATAAAAGAAGAGATTTGGGATTTTGCTGCACATAGTAAATATTTGTTAAAGATGAGAATGACATCACGTATGGCTATTCACTGAGAACTGATGGATAAGTACAAGGAGCTACCTGTCTGCCATGGAGCAGACATCACTCGCAGGATCAGGCCCCGAGGGAGGAGGCTAGAGCTGTGACAAAAAAAAAAAAAAAATGGAGCTTTACCCTTCTCCTTAAACTAAAAATTGAGAAATTAGAAGTATTTGTTTGGAGAGATGACTCTTGTAATTCTGCATCCTTGTTGTGTTTTTTTTTTATTGTTTGGTTAGCTTGAGATGTTCAGTGCTTTTGTTCAGGTGTGAGAGGAGAGGTGAGGGAGAGAAAAGGAGGGTGTCTGTGTGTGTGTGGTATTTGTAGTATATGTACTTGTTCCTGTGGCCATGTACATGTCAGTTCTGTAGATCCTACAGATCACTCTCCACCCTGTTCTTGAAACAGGGTCTCTCATAGAATGTGGTGCTTATCCAGGGGCTAGGCTGCTGGCCCATGAGCTCCAGGTATGGCCTGTCTCCCCACTAGACCACTTAGTGCTGAGGTTACAGATGTGATCAGCCCAATAAAGTGCATGGCAGGCATTCCACGCTGCCATGCCCAGCTTATTTACATTCTTTAGCATTTAATCAAAAGATGTTTTAATCTTATACATAATGCCATTTTTTCCTCTTGACTGCATTATAGGTGAATATTTAATTAACCTAGTTTCTGTATCACATGCCTCTTGAAGTTAATTCATATTACTTATAAATATTAACATATATCAGCAATAAAATGACCTTGGTTTTCATTATTGGTCCATTGCATATGGATACCATACTGAACAAAAGTAACTCGGCTACTGAATTGTCACTGGTTCCAGATGTGTGAGCCATACAATGATATGCAATTTTCATTTAGTGAATGCTATTTTATTTTGTGTTTAATAACCACAGATGAACTAGTGAATAAAATGAAAATAGGAAATGAATATAAAATTATTGGAATTCCAGTCTGTATCAAAACTTCACAAACTGCTCTCTGTGTAGAAGCAAATAGTATCACTCCTTACACAGCAACAGGTAAGCTAAAGCACATATATTAACACATATGTTAAAGTCCATGAATTCAGCAAACAGTGCTGCTCACCTCTGTGCTAGGCCCTTTCCCAAGCAGTAGAAACGTGGTAAGACAGCATCAGGCTGTCCCCTCTTAGTTTGTATGGTAGGTGGTCAGTCAGATGGCCACTAAGCCAAGTGTGGGGGTACACACAGGTAACCCCAGCACTTGAGAGGCTGAGCACAGGCTTAGACCAGCCAGAGCTGCATAATGAGATGCTGCTCAGCTGGAGTTATACAGCAGGGTTCTACCTCCAAATAAAATGCACAAAACTATCCAGTGAAGCAACCCTGCATCCAAGTGTCGTTAAGGAAGGAAATAATGTAACTACAATCTTGATGGAATTGAGGAGCTTTCTTGAACTAAATCTTACACTGACTTTTTGTAAGTTAACAGTGAGAAAACTGTTTCTGACATTTTTCTGAGCATGGTAGTGTATACTTGACAAGTCTATGGTTGGTGGCAGAAGGAGGATCATGAGTTGTAAACAGAGACTGTGCTTTTGTTTCCTCGCTGCCTAGACCCAAGTAATCACACAGAAACTCTATTAATTACAACACTGTTTGGCTGATAGCTCAGGCATATTCCTAGCTAGCTCTTACATCTTAAATTAACCCAATTCTATTAGTCTATGTATTGCTATGTAGCAGTGGCATTCCCTCATTTATGTTTCCTCAGCGACTGGTTGGCATCTGCTTGACTCCACCTACTCTTTCTATCTCTGTTCGGATTTCCTGCCTGGTTTTACTCTACTAAGCCATTGGCCAAAACAGCTTTATTCATCAACAAATAAAGGCAACACATAGACAGAAGGACATTCCACATTAATGAGTTCTTGGTCAACCTGGGGTACATGTAGTAAGAAACAGAAACTTTTTCAGGTTACCAAGAGTTAAGAGATTCATTTCCTCAGTAAGTTCAAAGTAACTGCTGTGGTCTGAGGAAGAGATCAGTAAGCACTGCCTTTTTCTTTCCTGGGTCCTGGGAAAGAGAATAGATACAGGCAAGGGGACTCAAATATCACCTTCCTAACCACCAGTGTCCCTGAACAGCCCCAACATGACTTAGCATTACGTAACCGCAAATGGAGAGCAGCCCTACCTTTCCACTCGCTTCCAGTCTCATAGGAAAGGTTGGTTAAATTTGAATAGAGTGGGAAGTTAAGAATCTGCAGTAATAGAAGCCCAACTTGAATTTAAAGGCAAGTGAATTCTAGATCTTTCAGCTTATCTTGGAGAGAATTCTTAAAGAAAAGAAACTCTTAAAGAAATCAACAATTTGGTGACCATTTTCATTGTACTTCACAACTTACTGGTTTGTTAGCAAAACAAAACTGAAATGTAGGTAGAAAGTGACTTCTTGTGTTGAATTTTAAGAGTTCACAGATTTAAGCACCACTGTGTGACAGGAGTTAGCCTAAGACAGGCCTTCCTGTCCATGGCATGTGTGATTAGAGGAGGTCCCCACTGTGAGAGCAGCCCAGGCAGAGAGCAGGGATAGCCATGCCAAGCTTCTCCTCTGTCACTTACCATTCTCAGGAGCTGTATAGGATCAGGGTGGAGAAATCTGAGAAAGTTATTGTAACATGAAGGGCCAGCTTGTTGGGGTATCTGTCCCACCCAGTACCCCACAGCCGGCAAGCCCAAAGAAAATCACACACAAGACTCCATATGATTATAAACTGATTGGCTCATTAGGTCAGGCTTCTTATTAGTTTTTATGACTTATCTCAACCCATTATCCTTATTTACATTAGCCATATGGCTTGGTACCTTTTTCAGTGTGACAGCTTACATCTTTCCTCTCCCGTGGTCTGGGCAGGAATGCGGAGGGAGCTTCCTGCTTCCCAGAATACTCCCGTTCTCTTTGCTCTACCTTTACTTCCTGTCTGGTTTTCCCACCTATACTTCCTGCCTGGCCAATCAGCGTTTTATTAAAATACATGATTGACAGAATACAGATAATTCTCCCGCACCAAGTTATAGTGTAACATAGCACAGTGTTTTCAAAGTAAGAGAATACAAATCCTACAGAGCCTGACACCCAGTATCTGTGGGCAGGAGAAATACTGTCAAAGGAGAACAAATGATTTGCCCTAGTTGACAGCCATTCGTGTGGGTGCATGCGAGGACCGAGATACAAAATGACGGACAAGCACGACCACCAATCACAACATTATAAAATTTGAGTATGGCACATTGGAAGAACTATATTTTGATATGATTTTGGACAAATGGAATCAGATATCCGTTATTTTTGTTTTCTTTCAGTTCCTTCAGGAATTAGTGACAACTTTAGATGTCTCCTGTCCTTGACTTCTGCCTCATGCTGGAAATTCACGGCAGTACTTGCCAACGTCTTTGCAGCACAGATTGTTCCCCCTGGGACTTACAATTTGCTCAAACTCTGTTTGCTGATGGGTCTAGTACAGACAAGCGATGGCAACAGGGACCCACAAGACTGTTTAGATATTTTAATTATAACCACTGACACTCTGCTTGTAGATAGGTAAGATGTGTGTCAGGAAGTTCTCAAATTACATATTGCTCACAGATTTGTATAAATTCTTTCTACTGATATTACTATGATTATTTAGAATTCATCCAAATACGAAAATGTTTAATAGTTTTAAGAAAGTTCAAAACTTTTAAAACATGCGTTTAGAACTGAAATATTTGGTTTTAATATTTTAAGAACATAACCTCAAAATTTCAACCCATTTCCCCAGTCAGACCTTTACAGATGCGTCCCCAGGCTGCTTTGCCCCACACTCTTTAACTCAGGATTTTGCTTTTACCTTCAAATAATCCTCCATCTAGGATTCAGCAGCCATTTTCTTATTTTTCTGACAGATTCCATTCAGTGACACAGGTTCCCTATATATTGCTCTGATAATTTATTTCAGTCTTTCTTCCATTTTTTATTACCATAAGATAATTTTCCTGCTCCTTTCTTTTCTTTCCTTTGTATTTTCCTTTTCTTTTCTTTTTTCTTTTCCAAGACAGAGTTTTTCTGTGTAGTCCTGGCTGTCCTGGAACTCTCACTCTGTAGTCCAGGCTGGTCTCAAACTCATAGATCCACCTGTCTCTGCCTCCCAAGTGATGGGATTAAAAGGATGCACCACACCTGTCTAATTTTCTTCTTCTTGAATTTGACATTAACAAGTGTTCTCTTCTGAGTACAGTCATCTTGCTCATGTGTTTTTAAGACTGATTTGCTTATATGAATCAGTAGTTTGTCATTTTTATTGAGAAGTCCATTAATATGAGTATGACACAATGTTTTTATTCTTCTCCTGATGACGGATATCTGAGTTGTGCATGTGTGGCTATTATAAATAAACTTCTGAATTAACTTTTTTGTTGATAGGAATCAATCCCAGGGTTTGGTGTGTAATAGACAAACCTTCTACCACTGAGCTGCATACCCATCCCTGCTGCAACGTTCTTGTATAATTTTGTAGAGTGTTTCATTTTCTTGAATAAAGACCTGGACCAGCATTGCTGGGATGAAAGGTTGATGCACATTTAATTATATAACGAACCACCAAATGTTTTTCAAAACTGCTTTGGCCATTTTACATTTCTGCCAACAATGTAAGGATTCTATTTGTCTCTATCCTTACCAATATTTGGTGTTGTTGGTCTTTTTTATATGAGCCCTTGCAGTACAAATGAAATGGTACCTCAGGACTCCAACCAGCACTTCTCTAATGTCTACTGAGTTCATCTGTGCCTCATGTGGTGTTTGTGTTTTCTCACTTTTTAGGTAAGCTGTTTAGATGCACTTCTGTCCCATGAGCAGACTGAGATTTCTTCTCCAAAAGCTTGCTATTTATGAGTTTCCTGAAACATGTCTGTAATGGGCAGACATTTCAACTTTGAGGAAATCCAATTTATTTTCTCTTAGGTTTCATGTTTTCTGGGTTCCAGTTAGGAAATTTTTGCCTACCCGGAGGTCGTGAAAATTTCTTATTTTCCTTCTAGAAGTATAATATTTTGGGCTTTTGTCAGGTCTCTTCTCTATAATATGCTCATGTTGTGGGAGGAGTGCACATCCCACAGAGTTCGGGGGGGGGGGGGGGCAGCCCCCCAGCGGGCGACTCTGTGGTGTTATCTCCTTGCACCTTAGCATGTGTTCCAGGGATTGAACTCAAGTTGCCAGGCAAGTGTCTTCACTAAACTGTCCGACTGGCCCTTGAGTTAACATTTGTACATGGTGTAGAGTGTAGTGAAAATTGATGTTTTTCCTATGCAGTTTCATTAGTTAGAAGACTTTTCTTTCTTTATTTAATGATTCTAGTACCATGTTTGTCAAACTAAGTGTAAATCTATTTGAACTTTATTTTCTGTTACAATTTTTTTTGTCTTATACTTAGGCCAGTAGTATACAGTCCTGATTATTCAGTCTTGAAGTCAGGCAAGACAAAATATTAAGAGCTTGTCTCAAAATATATAAGATACTTGCAAGGTAATGTTGGCCCAAGCCTTTAATCCCAGCACTCTGGAGGTAGAGGTCGGGGGTCTTGATCTCTTTGAGTTCAAGACCATCCTGGTCTACAAAGTGAGTTCCAGGACAGTTAGGTCTGTTAAACAGAGAAACCCTATATCAAAAAGCCAAGAAAAAAAGATGTATACCACCTCTAAAAATCCCATTTTAAGTAGTTGAAGAGTAGAAATGAGTATTAAAATTTTGTTTGAAAAAAAAAACTCCCTATGTGATTTAAATATGATCCACAGCTTAGAACCGCTGCTCATTTCGGTCTAGAAATGTTCCTAAGTTCTCTGTTACATACCCTGACTATGTTTAAATCCTTTGTGATGTTGTATCCTCTGAACACATGCTCTGGCATCTGCCTGTCTACAGTTAGGAACACTACCTGGCTCTTTTTGCATTGCATGTCTGTGTCTGTTCATCATAGATGGTTGCATCAAAAAGCTGCAGATTTTGTGGTCAGGATTTTAAAGAAGCTGCATTAGACAGGCTTTTCACTGATGTGCTCAGTACACAAGAAAACCAATTCTCAAAAGACAAAAGATTCATTTTTGCTCACAATGTTAGTCTATCATTTACGTGTTCCTTTGCTGTGGACTGATGGTGAGGCACTATGTGGTGGCAGAGAAAACAGCTCAGCTTTTGGCAGACAGGAACTAGAGAAAGAGAGACAGGGAGGGGCCCAAGACACGGTCTATTTTTTCAGGGAATGCCCATAGTGACCCATTTACTTAAGAGCCCTACCTCCTAAATCTGCCATCATACTGTGGATCTATGGAGGTAAATCCTTTGATCAGGTAAGAGCCACCAGGAGCCACGCACTTTGCCCAAGCCCATAATCCAACCAACTCCAACACATGAGTGCTTGGAGGATGTCTCAGATTCTCCATAACCCTAAACTAAGGTAACATTCCTTTCTCAGAATTTGTATTTGAGAGTTGAAGGCATTGAAGCAGTTAACAACAATACTAAAAACAAAAGAGAAGATGTAGCAGGGGTTGTTATGGTACAGAAACAGCAGGAAAAGTCAAGATAGGACACTGACAGACCTAAGGGACAAATCTGGAGTATAGAAAAGAAATACTCTAGAAAATGACAATCCAGTTCAAATATTGCCTTCCTATAGCTTTCTCTGATCCCTTTCTAAGAGGGCATAATACTCCCCTCTGGTGTCCTAAGAAGTTATTTTAGAATTACCCCATTGTAAGTTATTTCTCTAAGTCTCTCTATACCGTAAATTGTCCAGATATAATATCAGCTTTCATATATGTAGTGATAGATAGACATTGTATTGAGTTCAATTTAGACAATGTTTCTGACATGTAATGAACTCTGAAAATGAATTATTAATTAAGTATCATCAATGGATAATTTGTTTTTCCCTAGACTTTTGAATTATAGCATGAATCTTGTCTCCCGCGGTATACGTCACCCTGTCTCTACTGAAGTTTTTCCTACTGTGTCTAGAAATAAATATGGAACTGGAGCAGTGAGCATTCAAGCCGGCAGTGCTCTGCTAGCTAAGGGTGGGGTCTGCTTCATAGGAGACCTGGCATCACATAAGAAAGACAAACTCGAACAGCTTCAGTCAGGTAAACAACCCTTTTCAGATTATTCTTCCTGTTGAACCTCACCTTACCAGTACCAAGGAGTCATTTAATAGATGAGATGGTACCGCACAGGGCTTAAGAGATAAAAATTAGAAGAAGGAAAAAAAAGCCAGGTGGTGGTGCTGTACACCTTTAATCCCAGCACTCGGGAGGAAGGGGCAGGCAGATCTCTGTGAGTTCAAGGCCAGCCTGGTCTACAGGTCTACAGAGTGAGTTCCAGGACTGGTTTCATAGCTACGGAGAAATCCTGTCTAAAAAAAAACCAAAAGGGGGGTGGGAATATTAGGCCAAATGCCATTTCTCATTTTAACTTTAGAAATAAAATAAGAATTTAATTTGCAAATGCATTGTTTTAGCCTTTACTCTGGGTTCTAATACATGACTTTCTTTTGGGCCAGTTTTCTTTCTTTTTGTCTTATTGCATTATCTAAGACTTTTAGCACAATGTGGAAAAGAGTTGCTTCAGGTTTCTCACTGTTAAGTGTAATGCCAGCTGTGGGGTGTTTGCTGTTGTTTTAACTTGAAAACCCATGATGAAGAGATTTCCTTCTATTCCTACTTTGCCATGACATTTTATTATGAATCAGTTTGGGATTTTGTCAGATCTTGTTTCTTACATCTATTAATTTGATTGTGTGGTTTTTCTGCTTTATTCTATTGATACAATAGTTTATATTGATTTTGTTTTAAGTTTTTGCTGTTTTATTTTATGACTGACTATGAATGTTTTGCTGATCACCACATGTGTGCCTGGTGCTCCCAGAACCCAGAAGAAGGCATTGGATCCCCTGGAGCTGGATTTACAGACAGTTGTGAGCCACCATGTTGGTTGTGGGAATCAAATACAGGTGTTCTGGAAGAGCAGCCAGTCTCTTAACCACATGGCCATCCCTCAAGCTCCACATTGATTAGTTTTAAATACTGTACTGTGCTGAGACAGGTCCTGCTTAATCAGAGTGTGAACTTCTGGAAAGGTGCAAAACACTGGCCTATGTGCATTTTGGACAGTTCAGCCTACCAAAGAAATCTGGCTTGATAAATAAATGCATCTACTAGAAGTCACTGATAGAACATTTGATAGTTTACAGGCAGTCACACTCAACCGGAATTACTTCCCCAAATCCTGTTTTATTTAGTTCTAAATTTAAGAAATGGCTCACACAGGACAGAAGCAAATCACCCCTAGAGAGGAAGCGTGTCTTTGAAATCTCTTGGTTCTTGTCCTTATGGGAAATTTTGAAGGTTTCAGTAAACACTGTCAGACCATGGGAAGGAGGACTTTGTTTAGGGAGAGTCTGACACTCCTGTCAGTGCACAGAGCAGCTACAAAATAGTCTTACTTCAGCCGGTGTATTAGTTACTTGACCTCTTACTGCAGCCTAACACCTAACAAAAGCAACTACCAAAGAAAGGGTGTGTTTTGACTCACAGTTCAGGGTAGGTCCGTCCAGCCAGGGAAAGAAGATGGCAGCTCGCGACAACACTTTGCAGCCATAGTCAGAAAACAGAGAGGTGTTTATGCTTAGCTTGCTTTCTGTGTTCCTTTCCAGTTACTCAGTTGAGTGCGTGCATAGACGTAGTGGTTTGAGTGAGGATGGCCCCGCAGGCTCACACATTTGAATGTATGACTCCTGGTGAGTAAGATACTTAGGAAGGATCAGGAGTTGCTGTTTTTTTTGGGGGTGGACTTTGCAGTTTCCATAGGCCAGGCCCAGTCTCTCACTCTTCCTGCCTCCTGCCTGCTGGCCAGGACATAAGCTCTCAGCAGGCTTGCTTGCAGCCTGCTGCCATACTCCCAGCCATGAGCGTGGACTAATTCTCTGAAATTGTAGGTCAGTCCCAGTTAAAAAGCTTTCTTCTATGAGCTGCCTTGGTCACAGTGTCCCTTCACTGCAATAGGACAGTAATTAAGACATGTGGGCTGTGTGCAGAATACAGAAAGTTTCCACAAGTCAGTAACTTAAAAAACAAACATCTTAGGCTCAGTGGTAGAGTGCATGCTTTTTATATCTTTAGGCTGGGATGTAACTTAACAGATAGAGAGCTTGCCTAGAAAACCCTAGGTTTGGTCTCCAGCACCACATACAAAAAAAATAATTTTTAAAATAACTTTAACTTTGAAGTTGTATATTGCAAGGAAAGTCAGTGAGATGGAGGAAACACATTCATGTATGTATTAACCTTCTTAGAGCTTTTGCAGTCTCTGTGGAGCCCTCCTGACACAATCTGCTCTCGTTTCGGTTCTCAGTGACTTTTCATTCGTTGTTGATGAACCACAGTCCAACCCTTCCCTTCCCTTCCCTCACTATGAACCGCAGTCCAATCCCTTCCCTTCCCTCCCCTCCATGTGTGGGCGGATTTTTCTTTGGGCCACCAGCTCACAGATAATGACAGTAGACTTATGGTTAATTATGAAAGCTCAGCCAATATCTTAGGCTTGTTTTTAGCTAACTCTTATAACTTAAATTAACCCATTTCTACCCATCCATGTGTACCCTGAGGCTCACTTACGCCATCTGAACACAGTCCATCCTGATTTCTGCCTCCTCTGTGTCTTCCCTTGTCTCTACCCTCCTCCTTCCCAGTGTCCTCCATGCCTGGAAATCCTGCTACTTATTGGTCATTCAGCTTTTATTAAACCAATCAGAATGACACTTCTTCACAGTGTTCAAAAGTGATTATTCCACAGTATCTAATCCCTTACCCTTTCCTACCATGAATGCAGTTCATGTCCTTACCATCCTTGACTGAAAAAAAAGGCTCTGCTGTCCATTTGAATAAAATCATTTCCTACAGAATAGAGATTTTCTATTCTGGACATTTCATATAAACAAATAAATCCTTTAATATCTGGCCATCTGTGACTGCCTTCTTTAACTTAGCAATAAAAAATGTAGTTTACTTCATCCATGTCATAACTTGTATCAGTATTTCATTTTTTCAGTTGAGCAAAGTTACTTAAGCTAAGCATGGTGCAGACACTCTGGGAGCTAAGGTGGAAGGGTCCTGAGTTTAAGATCAGTCTAGGATACATAGTGAGTCTGAGGCCAACCTGAGCTACCTAGAAAGACTCTTCTAGAAACCATACAAAAATGATGGTGAGATGGCTCAGTAGGTAAAGGTGCTTGACATCAGCCCAGTGACCTGGGTTTGATACCTAGGAACAGATGCTATAAAGAAGGAATTGACTCCCTCAAGTATTCCTCTGACTTACACACACACAAACTATGACCTGCACATAAGCGTGCTTGAGTGCACGTGCACACACACACACACACACACACACACACCTAAATGAATACATAAAAATGAATAAATAAATGTAATTTTAAGAAATACAAAAATATACACTCCTTAGAAGCTGCCATATCAATCTTTGTACAATTTTATGGCATTTGAAAATGACCACCATGAGCTCATTCATATATTTGGGAGTCTGCTTCTCAGTTGATGGACAGTTGGGAAGGATTAGTAGGTGTTGCCTTGTGGGAGTAGCTGTGTCACTGGGAGCAGGAGTTCAAATGCCAGTGTGAGTCCCAGTCTTGCCTTCTCTGCCAGCTGCCTTTGGATTAGGAGGTAAAGCTCTCAGCTACCTCTCCAGCACCATGCCTGCCTGTGTGCTGCCATGTTCCCTGCCATAATCATAGCAACCAACCCTCTGAGAGTCTAGGAAAGCCCTTAATTAAATGTTCCTTATTACAAGAGTTGCCTTGGTTGTGATGTCTCTTCACAGCAATAGACACTGAGTAAGACAAACTACATTCATAGTCTTGTCCATCTATTAACACCCTCCATTTCTAGAATGGTTTGATCACCCCAGATACAAACTCTATATTCATTAAATAATAACTCCCTATTCTCCCAGACACTAGCCCCTGGTAATATTATTCCATTTTCTGTCTTTGTGAACTTATCTATTAATAGAATTCATTCTTTTAATGCTGAATAGTATTCTATTATATTGATAGATACAATATATTGCTATATTCACTTTATGCACATTGTGAATTATCCACTACAGGTATTTGTCTTAGTTATTTCTCAATTGGCATAATAAAACACCAGACCAAGACAACTTAAAACAAAGCATTTAATTTGTAGCTTATAATTGCATAGGGTTAGAGACTATAGCCATCATGTTGGGGAGCCTATAGGGACCATTCTCATCTAAACCACCACAGTACTGGTGTATAAATGCTTGTTTGAGTTCTAGACTTGACTTCTTTGAGTATATCCAAGAGTGGAATTGCTGGATCACTTTTTGGTTAACCATAGAATTGTTTTAAGAGGGAAAACATCAATTGTACATTCTGGTATGGTTTTTCTACATCGCTCCTATTACATCTTATTTGTAATGTTCTAAGAAAACAAAGTATAAATATAAACCTACATATAAGATACATTTAAAGGTAAGTTGTTCATAGTTGTACCTTTAACAGAAGTATTTTTCCTGATTTTTAACAGCATGCTAGACTTTGCTTTACACTGGGCTCCACTGGGCTCCACAAATTTTGTAACTAGTCTTGTCTACTAGAATGACAAAAAAAGAAATCCAACAGTTGACAAGAAAAACTGTTGAGATGTGGAACCTCTGAGTTCTCATGTATTGTTGGAGGAGTAGCAAGTAGTGTAATCATTGTGAAAACTGCGAGGGCAATTTCTATAAGGTTAAATATTTACAAGATAAAGAAAAGTATAACGTGATAGCCGTGACTGTACACTTGAATGGGTTAAGACCACCTACGAGAGTAATAAAGCACACTTCTGAGTGTGTCTGGAAGTCATTGGTGGCTCCTTCCCTTGGAGCTAATGAGCACAGATCTCTCTCTTCTTGACTACCGTGAAGTGAGTCCTTCCCTCCATGATGGACTAAAACCTCTAGAACAACAGCCAAATGAGTCTTATCTTGAAGTTTTTCATAGTTACAGAAGTCTAACGTGTGAACACAAAAGAAATGAGTTGGGTGGTGGTGGCACACACCTTTAATCCCAGCGCTCAAGAGGCAGATCCAGGCAGATCTCTGTGAATTTGAGGCCAGCCTGGTCTACAAAGCAAGTTCCAGGACAGCTAGGACTGTTACACAGAAACCCTGTCTAGGGAAAGAAGAGGAGGAGGAGAGACAATTAAATGAATTAGAAGATTAATTTGAAATCCAATTGGGAGTTAGAATCCTAAAAAATAAGATTAAAACATTGATTGGTTGTTTTGAAGTGTGAAGGAAAGACAAAAGTATGAGTAGGAGATTTCTAGATTTTTGTTTGGGTTTTAAGTGGGACAGGGCTTTGATGACTTTGGTTTTGAACTTGCTGAATTTGAAATACACTTGTCATGGATCTTATTCTCTGTCTTCTGACATTCCCTCATGAATGGACTGTTTTCTATCATGTTTTTAAACACATAAAAGGACACTTACTGAATTGGGAATGTGACTCAGTTGAATCTATTCCTAGCACATACACAGCCCTGCTTTCTGTCCCAGGCACTGTATACATTGTGCTTGGTGGTACAGGCCTATAATCCCAGCACTTGGGAGTGGAGGAAGGAGGATCCAAGTTCCAGATTATCCTCCGCTGTGGGGTGAGTCTGAGGCCAGCCTGGCTTAGTGAAGCCTGTTGTGTGAGTGTCCTAGTCCTCTGCCTGTTCACCCAGACGCCCAACCGCAGTTCTAGCTTGTGATTCTCAAATAGCTCATACACAGACATAATTTTCAAATAGTTTTCTTACCTTGTTCTTTTTTATGGTCATTGCTCTAATTTTAGTAGTATCTTGTAAAGCAATCAAATTTACTTGTGTCTTCACTATCTGTTTAGATAATAAAATTCCGCATGACGATATGTGTTATTGATTTGTGGACATATAGGATATCTCCTAGCATGACCAAATCTGAAGAGATTGACAGTAGCAACTGTTAGTGTGTGCTGGCAGCACCGGACACCTAGATAACGTGGGTCCCGTCTTCTGATGCAGTTTTGGAGAGCAGGAGCATCACAGTGTTCATCCCAGGAAAGAAGTTTGGGGATGATATCGACCAGCAGATGACTTTCCCCATTCAGTGCAGTTTTTGGTCTTTCGTTGATATGGATTCATCTTCAAGGAGAACTGTGCAGAAAACCAGTGCTCCGATTGGCCAGATGGTAAGGACTCTGAATGTTTTACTGTGAGAATATTGTTGAGGAGGCCACTTTTCTGTAATCCTGGCACTTGGGACGTGGAAGCAGGAAGGTTATCCTCATCTACATAGTGAGTTTGAGGCCATCCTGGTCTATGCAAAACCCTGTCTCAAAAAAAAATGTTTTTAAATGTTTCTGAGAGAACTGTTAGTCTGTGTTCATATTCTCCCCTTCCTACCTCTTCATTCTTATGTGTCTTCCTCTTCTTCATTCTTATTTTCAGGTAAGGCTTCACTAGATAACCAAGGCTGTGCTGTAACTCATTGTACAGCCCAGAATGACCTCAAACTAGTAATTCTGCTGGCTGATGAGAGCTGGGGTGCAGACATGCACTATTGTATCCAGCAATATGACTTCATAATGTTTTCATTATTAATGTGTTTATATACTTTTATCAGACATTACAACTGAATAATGATCCAATTGTTTAATAATAGTTTTAATGTTTGTTTTTGTTTTTTCTGAGTGACATCTCTACCCTTAAGTTTTCAGTCATGCAAATTAGATGTCTAGTCAGTACAGATTTCTATTTGAATAGTGAGGTCCTGTGTATGTGTGTGTGTGTGGTCAAGGTTGGCCCAGATGTCTTCCCCAATTGCAGTCTACCTTAGTTTTTGAGACAGAGTTTCTCTGGAACCCCCCAGTTCAGCTAGACTCTCTCTCCAGCAAGTTCAAAGGGCCTTTGTTCCTTCCTCCCCAGCACTGAGAGTCCAGGCCCCTGCTGTGGCACTCAGCCTTTCTGATGGATTCTGAGGGACAGAATTCAGCACCCTTGTTCAGCAAGCACTTTGCCAACTGAGCCCCGGAAGGGTTTAGTAAGCAATATATAATAAATACTCGATAAGAACTTTCTTAAAAAGTTGCTTTCCGAAAACAAGTATCACATTTTTTTCAGAAGTTGTTTTAAACTCTAGTTAATAATGAAATAATCCTTACATAAGTTAAATAGTATAATAATCTATTTGGATTTAACTATTTCCAGTTTAGTTAGCTTATTGTTTGCCCTACCTTTTTCTGTATACAGGATTGCAGTTTGATTCCCGCTAATCTTGTGGAGGCATTTGGACTGTTGATTCACTGCAATGAATCTTCTTCTTGCCACCCACTTCTTCCTACTGTGCAACATACTTTAAAGAAAGCTATGGATCCCGAGGGGTTGCTTTACTTAGCTTCTAAACAGTTCACAACTGAAGATTTTCAAAAGGTAAAGGTAGATAAAATGCTTATCCAGAATTCCTGTTTCATTGATTCTCAATTTATCCATTTTTAAATTTTAAATTGATTTGTTTATATAGTGTGTAGGGGCACAAGTGTACCCCAGTGCACACCAAGGTCAAAGAGTAACTTGTAGACTGCCGTTCTCTCCTTCTACCCTGGGCTTCTGGGCAAGGAACTCAGATGGTCAGGCTTGGCAACAAGTGCCTCTACTCACTGAGCCTTCCTCAGCCCCGTTTCTTAATTTCAATAGAAGATTACTTGAGCATCATCTTTTTCTTCTTCTGGATTTTGTTTATCTAGTTGGTTTTTGTTTTGTTTAATCTTGAGACAAGGTCATATGTAGTCTAGGCTGGCTTGGAACTCACTATGGCAGCCAAGGAAGCCTTGAACTTGATTCTTCTGCTTCTGCCTCTCAAGTGCTAAGATTACAGGCATTTGCTACCATGCTAGCTGGTGTTCTTTTGTACCAGCTTGCTTCCAGATTTTGAACATTTTGAACATTGTCTAGAAAAAAATAACTGACCAGCTGTGTGAGGAAACTTCAATGTTAAGTTTATTATTTCTACTACTATCCCAATATCTATAGCTTTAAAAAGATCAATGTTGCAGGCCGTGGTGGCACATGCCTTAATTCCAGCATTCAGGAAACAGAGACAGGCAGATGGATCTCTGAGCTCAAGGTCAGCCTTGTCTACAGAGTGAGTTCTAGGACAGCCAGGGCTACACAGTGAAACCCTCTCTCAAATAAATAAATAAATAAAATCAATGTATTAAAATAGAATAGAATATTTCTATAGAAAGTTAAGCTAGGCCATGTAAACATATTTATTAACATTTCATGACTATGGAATTTCCTTTTGAAGAGTCTATTAATTGAGAGAGAACCAAGATTCGTGACCGTTTGGGGGACAACTTAAGTACTGAGCTTGCATTGCTCTAAATATATATGGGATTCGGAATAAAATATGAATATAGGATGCAAGAAAACTTTAGGAAAAAGATGAGAATTTAGTTGGACATTAAGAAATAGTAAAAAATTTATAGCAAGAATAATGTGTTTTAAGCAGAAATTAACAATAAAAGCAAAGACATAGAAGTAGAAATTAATATATTTGGGAAGGTGTGAGAAAATTAACTCTTGCCTGGAGCAAAATGTATTGTGGAATCTTAGGGCTTTAGCAGTTTGCAGACGCCTTTGCGGCTCAGGTAGAAGAGAGCAATTGTGAACTTTATTGAGGATGTAAACTAGTGTAAAATGGAAATCTGTGTGCCGCACAGAACAAAGAGCATAAAACTTGCTAAGGACTGGGAATGTAGAGAGGAAAGGGCTTGGTGCCCAGTGTGTGATAGAAAGTGTTCTGTCATTGTCTCAGGAAGGGAGAAAGCCAGGCTAGGCAGAGGTGTGTGAACGGCCTACAGGAAGCTGCAAAGCTCAAGACACCCCTCAGAATTGTCTATCTTCAGACAAAAATAGAGGGGCTTTTAGGGGGACTTCATGAAGTCACCCTTACCTTCTGCATTCATTGTATTTATGATGTGGGCTGTCCTGAAGCAGTTCCTGCAGGGGCTGACATCTGAAAAAGCACTCGTGGGACAATAAATCCTTTCTGAAAGACAATAGAGAAAACTGGGTGCTGATGTAGCCCAGCAGTACAGCCCTTTCCTAGCTGGGTATGGCCCAGGGTTCAAACCCCACAATACTATAAATACCAGGTGTAACTATAGTTAATAGCATCCTAGTAATGGTTAATATTTCCTTTAGGCCTTATGAGTTTAAAAAAAGAAGAAAACAGCTAAGATAGTAAAGTCAACAAAAAATCTGAAAATTATGTGATAAAGTGATTTAAAGAACTGAGAATTATAGACAAAGAAAGAGGAGCAAGCAGGACTGAGAGGGACAGTGTTAACTGTTGTGTTTTAGAATCATTCTGGCCATGGAGGTGGCTCGGCTTGCTGTCCAGCCTGACCACCTGAGTTCAGTGGCCAGAACATGACACTCAAGCCAGGGCACATGCACACTACCCACATCCCCAGTATATACATCAACTTCTCAAAAAGAATTATTCTCTGCTCAGATCTTCCCGAGTCATCACTTACCTCTGTTGCAGTAACACAGTACCTCCTCAGTGGTGGGGGGCAGTAGTTCTAAGGAAAATGAGAGAAAGCTATGAAGAAATAAACTGCCTAGGAATTTAGCATTCAAACGAGACGTGAGCTCCAGGGAGAATCTTCTCCCACGGAGCACAAAAGTCATCTAGTCGTTAGGCCCAGTGCACAGCAGACTCCTGGACTGTGAGAGAGGCTATTCTAGGTAAGCTTTCATAGCTTTTACAAGCAAAAGGTAATGACTTAAAGTGCTCAATGACTTGGAAATGACCCAGATATTTATTTATATTTGATGTAAAGCTTACAGAAACTTAAAAATCGTATGCTGTACACTTTGGAATTATGAATCCATAATAAAACTAAATTTCTTTAATTTTTTTATATTTTTAACTTAGCTCCTGGCTTTTGCGCAGAATTTGACTATAGAATTCAGCTTGGAGGCAGAAAGAATGATTCATGGCTATTATCTAGCGAGTCGCAGAATCAGAGCAGACTCTATACACGGGTCGAAGCTGTCAGCATCTGCATTAAAATACTTGTAGGTATTCAACCCAGGATTGTACGACCAAAATTGATTTCTAAATATGAATTTAATTAACTTACTTGGTTTTTTGTTTCTCTGTTTGATTTATGTCAGTTGGTTGATTATTTACTGTTTCAGAAGAATTTAAGATGACTTAATGACTTCCTTTGTTATATTTTAAGTCATCTGCACCACTAATAATTCCTTTCCCTAAATTGTTTTTATTGGATCCTCCGTACAAGATATGCCTGAAAAAAGTCCAACAATTTCAATGTAAATGATTGCTTTTTAATGTGGTTGTTTGTGTTCCAAGTTGTTACAGTTGGGTCTAAAGAAACTTTCCTATTAAGTAATTTATTTAATATTCATATGTGCATATAATGTGTTTAGCTCCAATCCACCTCCATTCCCTCCCCTCCAACTCCTCCCTCCCCCATAGAGACACTGCACTGTTTCTTGTACCTCTGTGTATTTATTTATGTATTTAGTATGGTGTCAAGGACTGAACACAAGACCTTCACATGCAAACAGGCACCCTACCACTAAACCATATTCCCAGCCTTGTTCCTTGTACTTTAAAACACTTTAGTAAATATGCTACTATTTTTTAAGAAGTGAATAATGAATAATTCTTGTTATAAAAATTTATGAACATTACAAAATCTAAAATGAGTAATGCATGCTCCTAACACTATCTATACTTAGCTGTCTACCCAGAGATAAAATCACAGTTAACAGTTGGGTTTTTGTTTGTTTGTTTGTTTTTCAAGATAGGGTTTCTCTGTAGCTTTTGGAGCCTGTCTGGAAACTAGCTCTTGTAGACCAAGCTGGCCTCGAACTCACAGAGATCTGCCTGCCTCTGCCTCCTGCGTGCTAGAATTAAAGGCGTGTGCCACGATCACCCAGCCTGTTAACAATTTTAATGAATACTTCCAGAAATTATTTTTTCAAATATCAGCATAGGTTGAAGATGTAGCTCAGTCGGTAGAGTGTTTGCCTAGCATGCACAAGTTCCTGGATTCAATCCCCAATCCCTCCTAAAGTGGGTGTGGTGCACCCTAAGAAAATGGAGGCAGGGTGTCATCCCAGCTACTCAGTAAGCTAAGGCCAGACTATGCTAGGTAAGACCTGATCTCAAAATAAATAAATAACAGCAAATATATAAATACATTTTTAAGTGTGTGTGTGTGTGTGTGTGTGTGTGTGTGTGTGTGTGTGTGCTCACATGTAGAAGTCAGGGATCAGGCTCAGGTGTCATTTCTCAGATACCACCCACCTCGTGTTTGAGACAGGATCTTGCCCTGGCCTGGAGCTCACCAAGTACACTAAGCTGGCCGGCCAGTGGTCCCCAGGGATTGGCTGGTCTCTGCCTCTCACTGTTTGGAATTACAATCCTGTGCCACCAGACTCAGCTTTTCACACTGCTTCTGGGAATTGAACTCAGGTATTTGTGTTTGTCCAGCAAGCACTTTATCCACTGAGCTACCTCTCTAGGCGTGTATATGAGTGTGTACATGTGTGTCTACACATTGGTGTGTGTATGTGTAAACATGTATGGGGGCGCAACAAGGAGGCCAGAGCTGATGTCAGTGTCAGTCACTCTCAGAGACTCTGAACGTGGAACTCACTGATTAGACTAGACTAGCTGCTGAGCAAGCTCCAGGGAGCCTCCCTTCTCCCTTCCTTAGCAGTGACATTGCAGCTCCCGACTTCTTCATGTGGGTGCTGGGGCCTGAACTTGGGCCCTCAGGCCTGTGGAGCAGGCACTTCAGCAAGACTGAGCTCTCTCTCCAGCTCATTCAAGTCAGTATGTTGAACACAGACAGAAGCATAAAAATATATTTTATATTGACAATAGGCACATTCTGCTTCCCCAAATGAAATTATACACACAAAGAAAGATTATCTAGTTCACTTTTAACAGTCCTACCAGTCACACTGTTGTGATATGTGGTATTATGATGTGACTTTAGTATAATTTATAGTCCCTTTTGATAGGCCATTATTTCATTTGATATAGTAAAATACAATCTCAAATTATAAAGATCAAAAGTAAAATAATCCAATAAACAAATTAATGCAGTATCTTGTTATAACTGCAATATAAAATAAATTAAATGAATGTGTAGACAGCACCAAGAACGGATCTACAAGAGATGGATATGTTTAATCACTTTCTTCAATTATATTATTTAAATAAAGCTGAAATGCAAAAGGTAAGTCAAGGTAAAAATCAAATCCTTAATAAAAGTTTTCAAATACTAACCAGAAGTACGTAGTAAAGTCATAGTTGCCATACTCAGACAAACGATACTCCTTCAGTTTTGGAAGTTCCAATATCTCATGTTGTCCTTTGTCTGAAGTAAAAGATACTCTTTATTTAAACTTCTATAACCTCACTTTAAAATGACTATTTTGATCCAAAAATCAGGCAGAGTTAGTTTTAATATAATGCTACCTTTTCCTATTATATGGACAAGTAGTAAGGGTGGAGACGGGGTTTATGGACTAGCACGGTAAGAGCCCTCCTACCCAGAAGATCCTGAGCCTTCAGTTCCCTCTTCTATACAATAGTCACCTCTCCTTTTGTGAGGGTTCCACACATGCTTTCAGGATTTTGAATGAGGACATTAGGTTTACAATAATCAAATATATTTTAAGCTACATTGAGAGACCATCACAGATTTGAATTATGATCTTCATCTATCAAGAGAAAGGTTAGTAGAATAAATATGAAGTCTCCAACTAGGTTCCCAAGCGTTCTAGTGCAAGTGTGAGTATGTGGGAAGAGGGTAATGACACTGAGGATGAGAAAGGCATGCAGGAGACGTCTTTCTGTTCATGATTAATATGAGCAAGCATGTAATGTGACTTATCTTTTGAGATTTAGAACATGTAGTAAGAGCAAGAGAATGACAAGTCTACCTTACCTCTGACAGTCAAATAATGCACACAGTACTAGATTGTAAAGGTTAAACAAATCTGGTCATAAGGAAAGTAGCTGGAATATTGAAAAGATGAAAATTATGTTTCTCCAAATGTGATGGGGCACACTTTTAATCCCAGCACTCAGAAGGCAGAGGCAGGTGGATTTCTGTGAGTTCAAAGTCAGCCTGATAGCAAGTTCCAAGATAGTCAGGGCTACATAGAGACACCCTGTTTCAAAAAAAAAAAAAAAAAAAAAACCAAAAATAAACAACCAAAAAATAAGTTATGTTTCATGACACATTGTGTGTGTGTGTATGTGTGTGTGTGTGTGTCACTTAGGCTGGAACCCAGGGCCTCATAACCTTGAGCCACACTGCTCGCCTTCATGCAAGAAACCATGGGGCATCTATAAAAGTTACCTGAGTACGTGAAGAGTTGTCACATTTTGATCTCCAGTTCCCTCGGGTCCAGCAAATAGAACAAAAGACCAATTGGTAGAAACTATAATGACTCTGATTTCAGCCCAGATTTATATAAATTCTGTGGGTTACAGAAATTTTATCTTACTTCTTATCCTCATTTTAAATCTACACACACACACACACACACACACACACACACACACACACACACACTCAAAGTTAATTTATGCCAAGTCATCCAGTCAGCAAATCCTAAAGACTCAAATCCAGCGGTCATTTGAGAGCCTCATTCCTGCCTGACAAGGCTGAGAGGAGGTGCTTCAGGGGAGGAGAGCGGTTCACGTGTCTAAAGTAGTAAGTCATTCGGGGAAGTAGTGAATGGTCACGTGTTCAAAGACGACAGGGCAGTGAGCAGTTCAGAATGCTGCGCACAGAATTCGCTTATGTGACAAGAACTCTGTACTGTAAGATGCTGTGGGGACTCTAGACAGGTGAGGAGCTGCTGGGAGCACCAAGCAACTATGGATCTATATATCTTATATATCTATAGGATACTTAGTTATGTTTATTCCCTCTAGTGTATATTTACTGAAGTAGAACTTAGGGCAGGGGATGTGGAATGCTAAGAGGAAGTCAGTGTTATTATTTTTTTTTACAAGGCAGGGCACTTCCTTCTGGCACAATTTATTTAAGTTGATGGGAAAGAAATAGCTTAAAAGAAAAACAAACAAACAAACAAAAAACAGTATGCTGACCACTAACACATGGCTCATGTCGTGTCTTACTTGGTTCCTGTTTAACTATGTATTTTTTTTGTTTTTTTTTTCCTCTGTAGCTTTGGAGCTAAATATGTAATTTTTGTAATACTAACATGTGTTTATTAACTTCAGTTTTCTTTTTCAGAGTTTCTTTATCTGAAGCTCATGCTCGACTGAACTTAAGGAATAAAGTACTCAAAGAAGATGTACTGATTGCAGCCTTATTGTTTGAAATGTCTCTCACATTGAAATATGGTAATTCACTAATGATTCCTAAATAGTCTTAGCTTATTATTACCTGCACTTTAAATACTTTAAAGTAATTCATCTTTATTGTTATTAGATATGACATACTTGAATTTGAACATTTGCCGTTTATAGGGGAATTTTATATTTTTCTTTGTTCAAGACAGAGTCTCACCATATAGCCCAGCTGACTGGGAACTCAAACCATACACTCAGCCTCTGAGTACTGGGACTCCAGCTGTGTGCCATGCTGCTGGGCGCAGTGTCATCTGACAATAGACTTCTGATTCTGTATGATTGCCGTCGGGGAGTTCTGTGAGACTAAGCCTCACCACAAGGCCCAGGCTCGCCTTTAACGTGCCGTCCACAAGCCTCAGCCTCTGTGCTGAAAGCAGCAAGCGTTCCTAACCACTGCTGACCCGTCCCTTCCGCTCCCAGACTAAGCCAAGAGGCTTGTAAATCGTTATCTACAAATTCGTGTGTCCTTTACAAAGGACATAGACGGTAAACCCTAGGAAGTAGGTTGTGGAGTTACTGATTACTAGAAAAGATTGTCATCCTGAACTAGTTTAGATAGAACACTGGTTCCAATGAATGCTAAACAGTAGGGATATGTAAGTATTTTAATTGGTCTTCTTTTACTTATTTTAAGATCATATTTTTTCAAATCAGACACATTATTTTCAAAACCATAAAGAAATATGCTGCAACCAGGTGGTGGTGGTTCACTCCTTTAATCCCAGCACTCAGGATGCAGAGGCAGGTGGATCTCTGTGAGTTCAAGGCCAGCCTGCTCTATAGAGTGAGTTCTGGAACAGTCAGGACTACACAGAGAAACCCTGTCTCAAAAAACTGAAAAGAAAGGAAAGAGGAAAGGAGGGAAGAAGAGAGCAAGGGAGGGAAGGAGGGAGAGAGGAAGAGAGGGAGGGAGGGAGGAAAGGTGACATCAGTCATATAATTGTTAAGGTATATTGGGGTTTTGTACTAAGGACTCTGTGATAAACTGTGACTATGTTGTAAAGACATCACTGACATATTTAAGAACATATTTAAGGGAAGTTAAAAGATGTTCAATTCCTTTAGCTGATGAATTTCAGTGAGGTGTTTGTGATTTTTAACTCTTAAGTAATACTGTATTAAAAAGCTTCATAAATATTATTTCACTTTTATTAGTTTTTAAGTTAGCAAAGTGATAGGTTTCCTTATGGAATTTTCTACATATGTCGTTCTACTTTCTTACTGTCCTTTCTAAGTCCCTTCCCCACTGCCCTCCCCATACCTCATCCTCACACTGCTTCTTCCCTAAAATAGTAGAGAACAGAGTGAGATAAATAAGAGTAGGAGGTAAGCAAAGAAAAACGGTGAAGGACAAGCAGATTAAAGATGTAGGGAAAGGAAGAGTGGAGGATGTAATGGAGGGGAAGCTAAAAGACCAAGAGGTTGTTTTTAAAGGGAACAATATTTCCCAATTGTGAGAAAGATGGTGTTGGGGCAGCTTCTGTGTCCTTGAAAGTGACTCAGCCAGTCACATGCGTGCGTGGGGAGAGAGGTCAGCTGAATTTACACGGAGGAGATGAATGCTATGGAGAATGCAGAACTATGTGTTAAGAACAACTAAGGAGACCCTTATAAGGAAGTTATTTAACCTCAAGGATGAGGTATCCAGGTAGAGGGCACTGCAATCAATGTAGGTGCAGAGTAACTAAAATGTTGCCAACCAAGCCGAGCAGACCAGTAGGTTATAAAGATCCAGCCTGCAAACCTCATTGTATGGTAACTAGGGTTCTGGTCCTAGAATAAATAGAAAGAAACTAAATGTTTTACGAGACCAAATATCAACTATACTTTGGAACAATTGTCTGTGGTGAATCATTGTTGAGATAGGGCTTCTATGTAGCCTTGGCTATTCTACTCGCTTTCTAGACCAGGCTGGCCTTGAACTCACAGAGATCTACCTGCCTTTGCCTCCTGAGTACTGGAATTAAAGGCGTGTGTCACCACTGCCCGGCCAGTTCAGAACTTTTAAACATTTATTATATGCTGGGACTAAAGGCATGTGTCACGCCAAGGTTGTCTTTAGTGAAAGGTTAGAATTATAGGGACTGAGTTGTCATACTCCACGCAATTGTAATGCAAGCTTTGACTAGGTCAAGAGTAGAAACAGAGATTAGTGAAAGATGGACCTTGGATGCAACATCCAGTCAGCTTTGCTAATGACCTAGATTAGGACCTGGACATGTGCTATTAAAATTACGGTTGCATCTGCGAAGGCAGAGGTTGGAGTGGGAATGGATGTGTGGCTATGGAGACAGCCTGGACAACTGAACGTTGAAGATAAGGGATGAAGTGGGAATGGGGCTCTAGTTGGAGAGGATGTGTGATCCAGGAAGGGACTGGTTCTCAGTGTAAATCCTCAAGTGTTTATGACATGTAGTAAACGACTGATAGCACAGTCAACACTGAGCATGCTGGAGAGCAGACTGGGGGAGTGTAACACTGACCCAAGTGGAGTCCTGGATTCCAGAGCCAGGGCGACTGACATGTACTCAAGACCATTTTCTATTTATTTCAATCAGCCAGATGCGCTGGTCCCCTTTTATCACAGCACGCAGAGGTAGAGACAAGCCAGCTAGGGCTACATAGCAAGAGCCTGCCTCAAAAAGGACCAAAAATAAGATTTAAAACTTAAAAGGATTAGATTCTAGTCAACAGTTCAGAACTTGAAGACAGGATTTCTTCTCTAGCTTTGGAGTCTGTCCTAGAACTTGCTCTGTAGATCAGGCTGGCCTCAAACTCAGAGATCCGCCTTCCTCTGCCTCCTGAGTGAAGGGATTAAAGGCATGTGCCACCACTGCCTGACCAGTTCATTAGTTTTAAACATTTATTTTTTTGTTGAAATGTTTTCCACTTTTAGTTTTTAGGTCTCATTTACACTTATTTTGTTCTTCATTTAGGGGCCAGTGCATTCTGTGTTGCTCCCAATGCATTGTTTCCCTTCGAACTGTATGACGAAGAGTATTTAGAGCAGAGAGACCTCTACCTGACTCAGTGCCAGCAGCAGCTCCAGCAGTTCATCGTCACATGTGGGCCTGGGGCAGCTCTCTTTTCTACTGACGAGTAAAGCAATCTGAGCAAAGGGTTTCTTTCCCCGCCTCTGTCAACCTTGGTTAACTGTGTGAGTGACTTTGAAGTAATGCTCAGCTGGGTACGGCCTCAAGGTATCTAGCAGAATGTCATTCTGAGTACGAAATGTGGCCCCTCCATAATTAACACATAATCCAAGTATCCAAAACCAACAAAACTTTTTATTTAAACATTGAATTACCAAGGAGAGTCACCTCAAAACTTCCTGGTTACCCGTGTATCAAAGATATACACACAGTAGAGAACATTGCAGTGTGAAAAAAGGTAGATACCATGCTTAACTTACAAAACTGATGAGTTCAAATCACAATTTTTATAACCCAGTCCTAATGTAAGGCCTTTTGATATATTATCAAGTGCATTATGGGTATATTGTTTTATACGCCCAAGTATGAAGTCAAGGAAAGATGTGGACATCTTATACCTTTTACACAACCAATGACTTTTGACAACTATTTGCTCCTGGGGGCGAATGGTCTTCCTGCCTCCAATTAGCTGGTCTACAGGGTACTACAGTGCCTGACTTTTGTATTACTAGGTACTGGCTCTGATGAGCAAGTTAACAACAGTGCATACAAATTAATACCTGTTTGTGTCTTTTCATGTGTGAAAGCTAAACCAACCCCCACCTCCCACCAAAACAAACACACAGTACCTCTCACACCACAAAGTCCTAGCATTAGGAACTTTTTCATTTTCCTGGGGATCAAACCCAGGGCCTTGTGCCAGTTAAGCAACCACTTCCTCAGCCCTTAATACAAAGGCTTTTAAATGTCCTAAGTCATCAGAATGTTGATGTATTCTTTATTTACTAAACCCAGGAACTCAAGAGGCTAAAATTTTAAGTCTTTACTCAAAGAAATCCAGTTTCAGACTTGTCAAGTGACTTCCCACACTGTACCTCAGCTACTGGACCAGACAGACTGCCAAGCAATCTATGGACAAGGAAAATGAAGCTCATGAAAGACGTGCACTTGACTGTGAGAACGACGCTCTAAAGACACACATTTAAAGAAATTACTGCCCACAACAGTTGCGGTTTATTTCTACATAATTTATTGTTGATTACTATCAAATAAAACACTAACTCATCATTTGCTTCTGTTCACGGTTTCCTGACCAATTCTTCATTTCACCATCCAAATGTCTGCTGCACCTTCCAAAGGAAAAAGAAAGACAGTGAGAAGCCCGTGGTAGTTTTCCTCAAGCTCAGAAACTAAGTCCAGGTATTTTTCTTAACAGCCTTTGAAAAAATGTCAAGTACAGACATTCAAATGCGATTTGAAAAGGAACTGGTGCCAGTCCCTGATGTGAGAGAATTGTCTGTATCCTGTCAATCATATTTTAATAAAACGCTGATTGGCCAGGCAGGCAGTATAGGCGGGAAAACCAGACAGGAAGTAGAGGTGATGCAATGAGAACAGGAGAATTCTGGGAAGCAGGGAGGTTCCTCTGCCACTCCTGCGCAGACCACCGAAGAGGCAACATGTAAGCTGTCACACTGAGAAAGGTACTGAGCCCATGTGGCTAACGTAGATAAGAATAATGGGGTAACATAAGTTATAAGAGTTAACAAGAAGCCTGACCTAATGGGCCAATCAGCTTTATAACTTATAGAGATCTCTGTGTGATTGGCTTTCTTTGGGGTTTGCCGACTTGTTGGGGTGCCGGGCGGGACAGAAACCCCAACAAGCCGGCCCTCATGCTACAAGTCCCTGAGTGTTATCAAATACTGCTCAATCAAGAGATGTGACTGAGCAAACTTACCTGAAACCAACGAAGTATTTGTAAACATCACAGCTCCTGAGGTGGGAGTTTCACCTGCAGCTACCTACATGCTGGATAAACAGTACACCCGTTTCAACAATTTCATCACATTTCAGTAATCTGCATAATCTCTACATTGCTGGCATCTCAGTCTTAAAGAGTATTTCTTCAAAGAAACCCTCAGCTGGGTAAACGGCAAAAACTAAGTCATCACTGTGCCAGCTATTAAGCCACGTCAAGAACAGGCCCTATGTGTTGAATAGGTCCTTAGGTATTAATCAAAACACACACACCTTAATATCTGTACCTTGTTACTGGCAACTGCTGTCCTGGTGGCTTATTTAAACCACCTTCCATGACAAGTTTCAGGAAAACATTTGTTCAAGCACCTTCAAGAGAGACAGGTTTTGTTGTACCTAAAAATTAAACATTTGATTGTGAAATCATTTGTTACTTCCACATTTAACACCTTATAAGACTGTGCTGGCTAGTTTGTCAACTTGACACACCTAGTCACTAGAGGAGGAAGCCTCAATTGAGAAAAGGCCTGCAGAGGATTGGGCCATGGGCAAGCCTGCAGGGGATTTTCTTAATTAGTGTGTGTGGGAGGGCCCAGCACCTATTGGAGGGAACACTCAAACTGCAAGTCCTAGGCTCTATAAAAACCTGGGAGTAAACTAATAAGCAATTCTTCATGGCCTGCATATCAGCTGCACATCTATCAGCCATGTTATCCACCCCCTTCACTGTGGCGGTACTGATCTAAAACAAGGACGGATCCAGAGTAGCAAGCCTTTGCTCATTAGCCTCGGGGCCTACAGGTGAAAAGCTACAAACCTAACTACAGTTGGGCAGTCCACCACCTGCACATTACAACAAAGGGCATGGCCAGGACCACAGAGTTCTACGGACTCTAAAACACTAAATCACAGAGCCAGTTACTGGAGCTGGTTTATGAAGACTGTAAACCTCAAGATATCCGCAAATTTTGCTCTAACGTCAAAGCTTCGTTTAGAGCGTACTTACAAGAGCTAAAAATGATGGTCTTGGTATCTGAGAGACAATACGCCCCACCGCTACCAAAATGCAGTACAGGAAAATAGGCCACCCACCACCAACAACCTGAAATAGGCTGCACGGTGGCTTTTCTTGTGGACACAAAAGGAACAGCGGGCGCAGAGCAGACCCATTAGCGGCCGCTCCTCCCCGCACTTCGATGCGTCCAGAGGCGCGGGCCTTCTAACTAAGGGCCGCCAAACGCTGTTGTTCCCCGAGCAATTTAGGATCTGCAGATTATTTTAAAGCCCGAAGGCGCGGGAACGCGAGCGGCCGCGCAGACCAGGTCATGTGGCCCACGGTACCCGGCAAGGGACCGGCGCCGTCAGCTGGGCGCCCCGCTCCGCACCGACGGGGTGCACAGACCGTGGGGTTCGTACCTGGAAGAGCCCGAGGACAGGCCGGGATCCACAGGCCCGGGCCTCCGTCGCCCGCCATGCTGCACGAGAAGCCTGCGCGCCCGGGGGCCGCATGGAAAGGAAGTGCGGAGCTCCCCTCAACCCTTAGGCGCCCTCCAGGCCCCGCCTCTTCCGGGCACCGCGTCTCTGGTGGGGCGGAGGGAGCAGGTTGTGGGCGTTACTGGGGCTCAGTAATACTTCAGCTAGAGTTTTTGAATTGACTTTGCAAGTGACGAATAATGCCTTAAAATAGGACAGTTTCCCAGTCCTGGTGCTTCTCTTGGTCTTCTAAATCTTCATCTACTTCTGTGCTTTAAAAACTGGTGGTATTAGCAACCCCATGTAATTTTTTAAAAAGATTTATGTGTATGGGTGTTTTCCCTGCGTGTGCATATGTGTACCACCTGCGAGCCTCCTGCCGACAAAGTTCAAAAGAGAGCATTGGATCCCCTGGAACTGAAGTTATATAATAGCCAGATCTGAGGCAACCTACTATGTGGGTGTTGGGAACCTAAGTTCTGGAATCAGTATGCACACATGCATGCGTGCATACACACACACACACATACACACACACACACACACACACACATTCATAAATACACATCCACTACCATACGTGCGCTCACAACACAGCACACATACACACACACACAAATTGGTCGTTAGAAAAAAGGAAACGCTGTTAACTACTTTGATTGGTATTAGTAATAGAATTTTTCCTTAGCAGTTGTAGTCAGCTACTGTCTTAGGGCTTCTGTTGCTGTGACGACCAAAAACAAGTTGGGGAGAGAAAGCATTTCTTTGACTTACCATTCCACAGGACTTCATCACTGAAGGAAGTCAGGACAGGAAGGCACGGAAGACAGAAACCATGGCAGAGGCCATGGAGGAGTGCTGTTAACTGGCTAGCTCCGCTTTCTTTCTGATAGAATCCAGGACCACTGGCCCAGTATATTCCCACCTACAGTCAGTCAGGTATCCCCCATCAGTCACTAGCTAAGAAAATGCCCTATAGGCTTGCCTACAGCTGACTTTCTGGAGGCATTTTCTCATTTGAGGTTCCCTCACTCTTAGATGATTGTATTTTGTATCAAGTTGCTGTCAAACTAGCCAGCACTGTTACCTTGCTTATGAACAGGTTATGATTTACTCTTGATCTTTTTGTTTTTATTTTTTTTTATTGGGGTTCATCATGCGTGTGCTCACGTGGAGGCCAGAGACCAGCTCTGTGGCCTTGATTCTGTCACCTTGAAATGCACTCTTGGGCTGGAGTTCAGGATGGCAGGCTTGCCCAGCAAGAACCTTTATCTGCTAAGCCGTCTCGATGGTCTGAACTTTCATATTTTATCAATCTTATTCATCTCAGTTATTATACTTGAGTCCTGTCTACAAAACATTAGGCTTGGTATCACAAAAAGAAACATGTGTGATCTGAGAGATATACACGAAAAAGTAAAATCATATTATTAAATTGGTAAAAATCAGGCCCCCTCTCCTTAAAAGGAGACGGGGAGATGGCTTGGTGGGTAAAGTATGTGCTGTGGGTTAGGTATTTTTTGTCAGCCTGACATAAACTGGAGTCACCTGGGAAGAGGGAGCCTCGAGTTGGGACTTGCCCTCATCAGATTGGCTGAAGGCCTGTGTCTGTGGCACATTTTCTTGATTAATGGTTGATGTGGAAGGTCTAGTCTGCTGTGGACAGTGCCGCCTCTGGGCAGGTGGTCCTGGGTTGTATAAGAAAGCAAGACAGTGAGTAGTTTGTGGTTTCTGCTTCAGTTCCTTCCTTGAATTCCTGTTTGGAATTCAGTGACGAACTATGATGTGACCAAAATCAACCGTTTTCTCCCCAAGTTGGCTTTGGTCAGTGTTTTAAACAAAGCAAGAGAGAAACAAACATGGACAGCATGTAATCCCCGTGCTCTGGGGATGTGAACACAGGAGGACCCCTGGAGTCCCGTGCCTAGACAGTGACAGAAAGCCTAGGTTTTAAAAACAGGACCCTGTGAGATTACCGCTGACTTTGTTCAACAGTTACCTGTCAGCCCCTACCTAAGAGGGCTGTCTGCTGAGACAGCCTGTCTCCCGAAATAATCTGTCCTGCTTGAGCAAACAATTCCAGGAAGGAAAGACTGTAGCAATCTTTATGAACTCTCTGCCTTAGTGTCTGACCATTGCTATTTGAAATGTTTTTATCTGCTGAGGTCAGACTCAGGTCCGTTTCTGCCTTCTGTGTCTTTACTCTGGGCTCTGAAACAGTCTAGCCTAATCTGTGCGTTCCGGGTTCAGTAATACTCTGTCTCAAACAAATCAGGTGGAGAGTAGTTGAGGACCACACCTGAGATCTGTTTCTGGCCCTCACACACGTAACACACATATATACATACATATATGCATACAGACATACACAATAAATAAGGCGCAGAGTGATTGAGAACTACATCTGAGGTCTGTTTATGGCCTTCATATACATGTGTGTTACATGTATACATACATACATACATAATAAATAAGAGTGGTTGAGGATTACACCTGATATTGACCACTGGTCTCTGCATGTGTGCACACAGAACATGTAGACACACACACACACACACACACACACACACACACACTATAGGCTCCATCCACCAGCTCAAATCTGTTCCCACCCTGCGCAGCCTCTCTTCAGACAGAGAGCTGATAGGGCAACACCTACTGTGACCTAGCAACACACTCCTACGCTCCCATGCTCCCAACCCTTCAGCACTCCCCACCACCCACCACTTGCTCAGGTCCGGGTATCTTTGATGGACAATTTTGCTCTTATTGCGTGCTGTCTGCATCTGTGACTCCTACATTTCCTAGGCTAGATCACGCGGTGCGGAGCCCCCAGCCCTCCAGATCACGTGGTGTGGAGCCCCCAGTCCTCCGGATCGCGTGGTGTGGAGTCCCCTAGCCCTCCAGAAACTTGTCAGAGAGAAATTGCCTTTGTTATTCTTGAACTGCAGGTTCCCACTTCAGGAACCCATTGCTCTCTCTATGATGTTTGGTGCTGTAATCCTCCGAATAAACTTCTTCTAAAGGGTAACTCTCTCTGTGCCCTTCTACTATACCCAACAATGCTCTAAAAACCCATCTAATGCTGAAAAAAAATGTGTAGAACCTAACATAGGAATTTAGAATCTTTGTCTTCATCCCCAAATGCAAGTTGTTTCTTCTGTAGAGTAGTAGCCGAATTCATAGACTCATTCCTTGATGTTGCACCGACAATGTAATGTCCAACAAACGCATCTATGTGAGCAGCCGATGTAGAATGTAAGAGGAAGTGAATTTGGAAGCTGAGCTGGTAGAAGCTCAGTGCATACAAATTAAACAAGTTCTTAGAGTCACTCGGTGCTGGGCTAGGCAGGAAAGTCCTAGAGGCAAACATGCATACGTACTCTCCTCTACCCAGTTCCTGTGGGACAGCCCATAGCTTTCTGTTGCCTCCTCCGTGCTTCTGTTCCCAGGGAAAACACCAGGCTCTACTGCCAAGAGATAGCTGGACCAGAGTTAAAGAATTCTTTTTTTAAATAGATTTTTAATTAAACTATAATTATAGCACTTCTTTCCTTCCCTTTCCTCCCTCTAGCCCCTCAAGAATTCTATATATAATTTTGTTGTGAAATAGAATATTGGCATAACTATGTGATGCTGTGTTGATTTTGTTCATGTTGCATTTGTTGAACTATGTAGGGATGCTTTGCTGTTTCTCTTTGCCTGCCTAAGGTACCTGATTGGGCTAATGGAAAGCTGAATGACTGATATCTAGGCAGAGGAAGGACAGGTGGGGCTAGTGGGCAGAGAGAGAAGGGAGCAAGCCAGCTGACATGGAGGAAACAGTGAAGCTGGATGGACAGTCAGAGATGATAAACAAACCTCAGTGTAGCACATAGAATGGATGAAAAGACATGGGTTAGTTTAAGTTAAAGAAAAAAAGCTAGCTGTAGTAGAAGGGGTGGGCTGTGTCCCGGCTAGCTTAACCCCCAAAATAACCACACAGAAACTATATTCATTTAAATCACTGCCTGGCCATTAGCTTTAGCCTCTTATTGGCTAACTCTCACATCTTGATTTAACCCATTTCTAATAATCTGTATTTCACCACGAAGTCGTGGCTTACCGGAAAAGATTCAGCATGTCTGACTTGGCTGCTGGCTCCATATCTGCCCTTCTTCCCAGTATCCTGTTCTGTCTACTCCGCCCACCTAAGGGTTGCCCCATCAAAAGGCCAAGGCAGTTTCTTTATTCAACCAATGAAAGCAACGCAAATACAGAAGGACCTCCTACACTATTTCCCCTTTTCTATTTAAATAAAAAAGAAAGGCTTTCAGTTTAACACAGTAGAATTACAGTTACAATATTTATATCTATTTTATCTTTTATCGTAACTAAGGAAAACTATAATTATAACTACGCATTCTTCAACTCCACCAAAGACTCCAGAAGGATATAATATTACCTAAGTAAACAAGAAGTAAGCAACTTCCAAAACTCTAGAAATGACAGAGACATCTCACTTCCTGGACATTCACCCAAAGTTCTTTTGTACCATTGGAGCATCCATCTTCAGCCTACAGGTTCATAGCATCCAGCAGACTTTTCCATGAAGCAGGAAATTTCAAAGACAGTTCAGTCACTTTTTTCCGTGTCCTGCAGAATGTCTCTCAGACTCTTTCATGAAACAGGAACCCCGAAGGACCAGCTAGCTAGAAACAAGCCTAAGATAAGACCAAGCATTTATAATTAATAATAAGTCTCCAAGTCATGATTTGAACTGGCAGTCCAAGAAAACCTGCTACATATTTTAATATAATTACCATATATGATTTACAAATATATTCTTACAGTCTGCATCTTTTCATTCTCTTAAAAAAAAACTCTTTGTATTAAGAAGATATTTATTCTCCCTAGCTCCATAAATGCCTGAGGTAGGTGAGAGAACTGGCGACCCTGGGGGCCTAGGGGTTGGAGAGCTGTCTCTGTCCCCAATCAGCTGCAGCATGAGGGAGAGCAAGCCCTGCACTTCACAGGGGCAGCACAAAAGAGCCAATCCTGTTGGCAAAGATGTGGGTGAGCCAACCCCAA